TTGTTCACATTCTGTAACACCTCAACTGATCCAATCTTAATCATTCTGAACAAGTTGATGCAGTGTGCATGTTCAGTTTTTATTCTGGATAGGCTTTGATTCAAAGATTCCACATTGTGTGCATGTGTCTAATTAACCATGGCAAGAGATGGCAGGGTTTAGTCACCATCAAGACAGTGATATTTTTAATTATTGTCACCAGTTTGATTCATTGTTGCAGTGTAGCAGGTATAGTTCCTAAGCTTCAGTTGAACAAAACTTACAGCAACTGAGTATGATTTCGTAACTTTGTAGCGAGCAGTGTCTGGCAGGTTTCAGTTTTCTGAAGTATGTTTGTTTTCATTGTTACTAATGAAAAAGTAAACAGCTTTTTCATTGGTTCAGCGAGCTGAGCTTAATTATTGTAGTAATTTACCCAAGTTGCATAAATACCCATCACAAAAATGTGGATCAAGACTTGCAATCAACAACAAAATCTACACTGTTCAAAATGAACTGAGAATATAAGAATTTTTGAACAAACTCACTAATCAGTGAGTTTAGTTTTAGTGTTAATTTACACATTTTATTTATGTTTGTTTGCAGTTGGCAGAGGCAATATTGCAAGAAATCTCAAAGGTGGACTGTCACTCATCGGAAGACTGAAAAATCATTTTTTTATATAAAAGACATTGTCAGCATGATACTCCAAGCCAGAATGAAAGACAAACTTCCCATGAACAGAAGATCTTTTTTAGGTGAAAGTGATCCCCGGCATATTCAAGCAACGCTTGCACCCATTCCACCACCAACCACCAGCAATATTGTTCAAAACCAAAAGTCCAGATTTAAAAGTCAATAGATCTCTGGAATATAGTATTGTAACTTTGTAAATAAAAATTAAAACTGGGATTTTTATATTTTTCTTTTGAAGTTGCTTTATTTCATATTGTAGCCACTGACATTATTGCTCACCAAAAAATACACAAAGAATATACAAAACAGTTAAATATTTCAACTATATTTTATTGGTAACTAGGTGCAGAGGAATATTGTGCAGTGCAACAATACAATCATGAATGTAAATGTTAACGTAGCCTGCTGGCTAAAAAACCAACATACTGTCCATGTGGATTGGGAAATTTTTTCCTAATTTCCCACACACAACAACTGGGAATCACCCTTCTGTCGTCTCTCCCAATCTTTCCATGCCGCCAAAGAATAAACTGCCTATATGCTGCATGCCGCCAGGATTTATTTGGATCATCAATTTCATCTCTATCCTCTCCAGCAATAGTTAACCCAAATACAGATCGCCTGTATCCTCGACAAAGTGACAATACACCATTGTCCAGACAATACAATTGCATTTCCTGAAATTGTATATACAATGTAATTCAATGTTAGTGACCAGTTGCAGAATAAGCTATTTTGGTAGCATATTGGGATTAAAACTGCACTGCATTCATTGTTCTATGGTTGACTAAAATGCAATTTTGGTATAGCTAAGACTAAATAATTATGATCCAAAATCTGTATTTAATAACAGGAAAACACTTGCTCACTACTATCCTGAAAAATCTGGTATTGTGTTTTGGTTTAAACTTGAAGTACTAGTACATGAATATTAGCTCACCATCCTTGAATTCTTGGTGATTACATGGCCCTGAATTGCCAACAATTGTATACGAGTGACCATATTTTCACTTACTGGCCATTTTGTCACACAACCATTTGGTGTATATCCGCAGCACTGTCTTTCGGCCTCTGTGGGCATTTCTTGGCAGTACTGGCATACACACCAGGATGGTACGTCGTCTCTAGTAGTCCTTTGACTGTCTCCATTGTTATCTATCTCCTTCATCACATTGAACACTAAACCAGGCTGTCGTTCCACCATACTTAAACATAAGGACTTTAATTCATCTGTGTTCATTTCAGATATTTTTGTCTGTTTGAAGGCAACAGAAAAAAAATTCATATTAAATATTTTTAAAGCAGCCCAAAAAAAAATTGTATATTGTGCTTTATTGTAGAATAATGTATTATACACACATTGAAAATATGTATGATTAATAAAATTCCAGAATTTAGAAGCACAGACTAATGCAAACCAGGAAAAACTCACAGACAATGGAGTTGTCGATCCTCCGCATAAT